AAATATATTTCTCAATTTAATGGGACTAATGTCCCCTATATCTGTAAATATTGGCTCTGTTCAAACAATAATTGGTGTTTTCTGTTTTGTTTTTAATCCTGGGAGGAAGGTAAACCAGATTTCTCTAATGGAGCATATCTACCTCTGTGCTGAGAAAACCTTTTGGTATAATCAGTCTTTCTTTCTGGCATTCTCTGTTTCCATTTCAAAGCAGTAAGAGGGGCTTTACTGAATTATAAAGCATCATCTTAAACCCTATACCCCTTCTCTTCACCTTGAGGAGTCAGAATGAGCTCCATCCACAAGGGAGAAAGCTCATCCATGGACACTGAATACTTCTGTTCCTTTTCTGTCTATTGTCTTGGTAAGTTTCAACTTTTCACATTCAGGTCAGTCATCACCATGTCCATGGATCTATGTCCGTTGCATCCCTAGAAAGTACTTAAGAAGCAACCACCTGCTCGTGATGCTGTGCAGACAGCCATGGCCTTGCACTCCGGGGACTTTAACATCTAAGGCAGACCCCAGAGTGCAACATGTGTATGGTTTGGCTAGATTTAACTCCTTGCCTAAAAGACCCTGATTGCACCTCATTATGGATAAAGTACCAAACTAATAGACAGGTGGGAATGTGTTGGAAATGGCTAGTATCCTCTTTGGAAAATAGAGGTAATAATAAAATCCATAGCTCTCATTTATTGAGAGTGTGCTATGTGCCAGGCGAAGAGCTAAGTGCCCTTATGTCATTTAATCCTTGTAACAGCCCGATCCAAGAGGAGCCATTCCTGCCCCCATTTTCAAAATGAATAAACTGACGCACAGAGAGGCTTCCACAGTCTCCCAACTGATAGTGGTAGAACGAGAATTCAAAATTAGGTTGTAGGCCACCAATCCAAGGAGCTCAATTCTGGGAGGATGAGTCAGAGTTTAAGAACTAAAGGATCTGAGAAACTTTTTTCATATGGGAAACTTTAACATCTTGAAACTTTCCTTGGGGAATGTAAGACCATCTTCTGCAAGTCATCTTTACCATCTCATTCTTTAGCACTGCCAGAGAATTAAAGATATAAAATAAAACAAAACACCCACCCTTGATGAAATTACTGAATTTGTCTAGCTCATGATTAGTATTTCTGACCTGACATGGGTGGACACAAAAGCCTGATTATATCCACACATGTGCTCCAATGACAACAGTCTTGGCTTGTTTTCATTCTTCTTCCACTTAGCTTCTGGCCAGAAATAGAGGCCTGTGAATCCTTCGGTTTTTTTATTTTAAGTACATTACAGAAAAATTCCTTGCAAATTGAAATTTTAAAGTTCAATCCCATTTTTAATGCATCCAGGTAACTGAATTTACTGTGCCCTCCGGTCCAGCTGTCTCCAGAGAGAGCATCCCTGGGTCCATACATTAACTCTTGAGGTACACCTGCCTCCACACAAATCAGACTTCTAGATGACAGGGAAATGGCCAGAGAGAATGAGGAAGTCAGTCGTTCCAAGTAATCCCTAGTTATATAAAGAAAGTAGTCATTTCTAGCCTGGACAAGGAAAGCACTTTTATTTGGTGGATTTGTATTTAACAATGTAACAATATTGGTTCCAACCTGGGGCAACTGGCTTTTGCTCCCTGCCTCAGCTCTCACATCTGCCAGCTCTGCAGGAAGCCCTGACAAGAATTAATTGGCTTTCCTGAGCCTTGAGGCTCAGCTTGGCTTCTCTGTTCTAACAGTCCCACAGGACACATAATTTACTGTCTGGAAGGGCTTTTTGTTTTCACAAGTTCTATCTGATAAGCACTATATAATGTATACACATTTCAGTAAGTTAGAACCTAGAGAAACTTAAAGGGTATTTAAGGGTATTTGGCTCAGTTTAAGAAAATGGACTGATTCCCCTGCCTCTAGTGAGCTCTACCTGTGGACTGAGCCCATACCATGAAAGAAGCTTTAAAATACTTCCAACCTGTCTTCTCACACAATCCTGTTATCTGTGTTTTATTCTAAACTTCAAAATACCTTCTTTTATTTGGCAAGTATTTGAGCACTCATTGTGTGCCAGGCCCTGTTCTAGGTATTGGGCTACCTTAGTGGACAAAATATTCAGATTCCTGCCCTCATAGAACATACCTCAACAATCAATAAATAGGTAATAAATAAATTGGTTAAGTGGTATTGTAGAAGGAGACAAGAGTTATGGGAAAAAGAAAAGGTAGAGAGAAGGGTAGGAGAGCACGGGATTGCCAGGGAGTAGGGAGGGGAGGGCCGGTCGCACTTGGAGAGAGTGGTCGGGGTCATCTTCCTTAAGAGGGTGACATTTGAGCAGACTTGGTGGTGAAGGAGTGAGGTGGGCAGGTATCTGGGGGAAGAGAGCTCCAGGGAAGGAAAACAGCAGGCGCCAGGGTGGAAGGGGCTAGAGGTGGTGTGCTTTTCCATTCCCCATAGATGACCAGTGGGTTGAGTCACCAAGAAGAGAGCTAAGAGAAAACAAAAGCCAAGTTTATTTGTAATAAAACTGATTCAAAATTCCTTTTTTTTTGAAGCTCAAATATATATTTATTAGACATTACAGTATCACAGGAGGCAAGTGCCATCACTGTGTCACCTTGTCACCTAGGCCTAACACAATCCAACATAGCTCCCAGCCCCTTGTAGACGCACCAAACAAAGGTCGCCTGCAGTCAGTGAGGTTGCAGTTGATTTGCATAATGTAAAAAAAAAAAATCTGCCCATCTGTAAAATCCTGCCACCACCTGCACTTTTTTTTTTTTTTTTTTTTATTTTAGTAAGTTATGTTAGTCACCATACAGTACATCATTAGTTTTTGATGTGGTGATCCACGATTCTTTGTTTTCATATAACACCCAGTCCTCCATGCAGAACATGCCCTCCTTAATACCCATCACCGGGCTAACCAATCCCCCCTCCCCCTTCCCCTCTAACACCCTCAGTTTGTTTCTCAGAGTCCATAGTCTCTCATGGTTCATCTCTGTCCGATTTCCCCCCCTTCATTTTTCCCTTCCTTCTCCTAATGTCCTCCATGCTATTCCTTATGTTCCACAAATAAGTGAAACCATATGATAATTGACTTTCTCTGCTTGACTTATCTCACTTAGCATAATCTCTACCAGTCCCATCCATGTTGATGCAAAAGTTGGGTATTCATCCTTTCTGATGGCTGAGTAATATTCCAGTGTATATATGGACCACATCTTCATCCATTCGTCTGTTGAAGGGCATCTCGGCCCTTTTCCAGTTTGGCTATTGCGGACATTGCTGCTATGAACATTGGGGTGCATATGGCCCTTCTTATCACTACATCTGTGTCTTTGGGGTAAATACCCAGGAGTGCAATTGCTGGGTCATAGGGTAGCTCTATTTTTAACTTTTTGAGGAACTTCCGCACTGTTTTCCAAAGTGGCTGTACCAACTTGCATTCCCACCAACAGTGTATGAGGGTTCCCCTTTCTCCACAACCTCTCCAACATTTGTTGTTTCTTGCCTTGTCAATTTTTGCCATTCTAACTGATGTAAGGTGGTATCTCAGTGTGGTTTTGATTTGAATTTCCCTGATGGCTAATGATGATGAACATTTTTTCATATGTCTGTTAGCCATATTTGTATGTCTTCTTTGGAGAAGTGTCAAAATTCCTTTGAAGAAAACTTCACAAACTGATTTAAGGAGGTGCAGAGGGTGTTAGGGCATGTTTACTGACTTTGAAACTTCTTGGGTTTCAATCCTGGCTGGGATTTCCTTGTCTGTAAAATGTGGCTAATGATAGCACCCATCTTCTAGGATTGCTTGATGATTAAATGAGTAAATATTAATTAAAAGCTTGGAACTATCTCTGATGCATGGCAAACACGCAGATATTAGCTATTAATATTATTATATTACAGCTACTACTTTTTTTTTTACTTTTATGGATTGATGCCCTGGAATACTCTTTGAGTGTGTCCTAAGGGCTTCGTGTGTGTTTGTGTGTGTGTATGTGTGTGATGGGTTGAGAGTGTGGGGCTTAGTTTATAAAAGAGTTTTGAGAATTAGGTAAAATCCCACTGCTTAACACAAGATAAAGCCTCAATAAATGTTAGTTTTTCCCCCCTCTGGCAGCATTTTATAGCAAAGAAAAATTATAGAGGGCTCCCCTCTTCTGCTTGCTATTAGTGAATTTTTGGGCTGGTTTATGAGTAGAATAAAGGCCAAGTGAAAACATTGCATAAACTCAAACTTTAGAAACTTGTTTTGCCCTTAACACCACCAGTGGAACCAAGAAATTCCCAGTGGGTCATTTTGAATATCCCTGGAAGGTAGAAAATGGACAGTGGGTGGGTGAATGAGGAGGAAAACAAAATGAGAAACCTGCAGAAATAGGGAAGTGCTTATTAAAGTGATACCACTTTGGTATGAGGCCCCTGGAAAACTAGGAGTCCCTTTAGCTGAGGACCTTTAAAAAGAGAAGGGACAGCATCCGTCCAGGTGAAGCAGGTGTCCCTGACTGAAAGGGCCAGGCCAGAGGGTCTCTTGAGCCCTCTCCCAGCTCTCTGAGTCTCCAAGAGCAGCCCCTCTCCCGACTCGGCTATCCCATTGTTGCATCTACAAACCTGAATTAGCCTACCTTTCCAGCTATATTTAAAGAGTCATTAATACTTGAGATACAAAGAAGGCCTCTGCTGAAAAATACCAAGAAGGACCAAGTCACTGTATTTTGAGATAGTAGCTTTTGAAATATCAGCTTTCTATTCCTCTGGGATCTGTCCCCAACTACTCTGGGTGTGGCCGCTCATGTGGACCTGTGTGCTCTGCCACCAGGAAAACACCGGTGCCGCGGGCCTGGGAGGGAGACAAGGAAAACAAACATGAGTGTGCTCTGAGGGAACTCCCAGGGCTTCAGGGGAAAGGAAGCCATGTCTCCACAGGACAGGGGTGGGGGGGGTTAGGCAGGAGAGAGAACCGAAGCCAGACGCCCACTCACTGTCTGCTGCTGTTTTGATTCATAGGTACGGCAGATGTCTCCAGTGCCATGGATCATACCTTTTCAACAGCATTAAAAGATGGGGAAGGATCGTGTTACACGTCTCTGATTTCCAACATCTGTTACCCACCTCGGGAGGATTCTACATATTTCACGGGAATTCTTCAGAAGGAAAATGGCCAGGTCACCACTTCCGATAGCCCTGAGGAGTTGAGTACCCCTGGGCCCTCCTTACCAGATGTGCCTGGGATGGAGCCTCGTGGCTTATTTAGTTCTGATTCGGGAATTGAGATGACTCCGGCAGAGTCCACTGAAGTGAACAAGATCTTAGCAGACCCCCTGGACCAGATGAAAGCAGAAGCCTATAAATACATTGACATAACCAGGCCGGAGGAGGTGAAATATCAGGAGCAATGTCACCCCACGTTGGAAGAGAAAGGCTTGGACTTTAAGAATAAGGACACTGATATCTCAACAAAATCTGAAGAGGCCCGTGAACCAGAGAAACCAGTTCCTGTGGAGGGAAAAATCCTCAAGGACCATTTATTTGAAGAATCAACATTTGCACCCTACATAGATGATCTCTCTGAAGAACAGCACAGTGCTCCTCTGATCACTGCCCCTGTCAAAATCACGCTGACTGAAATCGAGCCTTCTGTTGAAACCGTGACCCAAGAGGAGACCCCCGAGAAGCAAGATATCTGCCTGAAACCAAGTCCTGACACAGTCCCCACGGTCACCGTCTCAGAGCCTGAAGATGACAGCCCGGAGTCCGTCACGCCCCCGTCTTCCGGGACAGGTAAGGGATCCGGTCGGTGTTCCCTGCCTTGGGAAAACTCAGGATATGGAGATCTGAATATTAAAGGAATGCGAATCTGTATTCAAAATATTTTACTATAGGGTCCCTTTAAGGCTCAGTTTAACTGGATTTAATTAATATACAACTTTTTTAGTCTTGTGCTCATGGTACTAAGGTTGAGATCTGGGATTTCCCTGGAAGTCCTATCAGATTTGTCTTGTAAAGTGTTTCTTTCTTCGTTTGAGGGGAGAGGTAAGGATAACACCCTGGAACAGGGAAATCCTCATGTGGCTCCACCATTCAGAGCAGAGAGGGAGGTGCTGTCTGTTTCTAGTTAGCTTCCCACGTGGGCTTCCGGGTCTCTGGAGGCATCACAGAGAGAGCACTGTGCCTGTCCTTCCCAGACCAGCTGGGCCACCAGGAACAGGGCATTGCACATTCCTCGTCCCAGCTCCAAGTCTGTACAATGAAGGGGGGCCGGGGTGCACTTCAGAGTCTTTAGGGGGACATGGGCAGTGAGAGGAAACCTAAAAAAAAAAAAAAAAAAAGGATACTCTTCCTCTTCCTTCAACCTCAGCAGGGTCATTTTTTGTCTTTTTACTTTGTTGAAGTTCTGCATACAGTTTTATTTTTTAAACTTAGAGGTTCATTAGAATAAAAAAGTTCAGAATTCGCTAAGCTCTGATCTCTGTCAACTTGAAAATTCTCCTACTGTGACCCAAGACAGGGTGTTAAACCGTATATCCTCTCAAATTCGAAGGGTTCTCCTGTTCCCAGGTGACAGACCAGAATGGTAACAGGAGTGTCCCCACCCCACCTTGTACCACCCCATCCTGGGTGGCAAAAGTGAAGCCTTTGCATGTCTACCTCTTTTCAATGTTCAGGAGGCATCAGGATGGAGAGGACAATGAGAGGTCCTCGGATCTTCCCCAGCGTCTAGTGGCTGGCATTCTTACCCTACTCAAAGGTGATTTACAAAAAAAAAAAAAAAATGATTTTCACTAGTCAGGTGCAAGAGCTTTTACTGAAGTCTTAAAACAGATCAAAAGGCTATTAGGAGTGCTTGCTCTGAATCCTGATAATGCAGTAAGTCCAGGTGTTAGGACTCAATGGAAGTGCTTCCTATCCTGTTTCCCTAAATATTTTAGCATCGGTTCTTCCCCTTCTCCAACCTGATCTCCAACCTGATCTCAGACTCATTCAACTATAAAAACTCCAAGCATCGTAAAGATCCACTGCACCGTGTCACTGATTTTCAAATTCATTCATTCGTTCAACAAATATGTTCTACATGCATTCTTTTGGTCAGGCACTCTGCCAGGCACCAGTGAGGCTGGAACTGAAAAAACAAACAAACAAACAAAAACGGTTTCTGCCTTCCAGTGGAACAGATGACCAAGAAGATAGTCACACTCCAGTGTATTTGTGTTCTGAGAGAGGGAAACACAGAGTGCAGATGAGCACTGGGAGTCCAGCAGCTCCCAGGTGAATGGAGCAGGAGGAAATAACCAGGTGAAGGGGGGGGGCCTTCCCGTCCGAGGAGGTCCAAGGACACGGAGGTATGAGGCCACAGTGAATTTCTGTGTGAGGTAAATTGAGATTTGGGTAGTGACAACAAATAAGGAAACTGAGGCTCCAAATGGACTAGATGTGACTTGTCTCAGATTACAACATGTGGTAGCAACATATCTGAGTCTTGAAGCCTCCTTGTGGTCTTTGTGATAATGCATTGTAAAACCCTTCTGTTAGTCAATGACATAAAGATACTGATGCTCTGAAGATGTAAGCTATATTATCAGCTGTGTTTTCCCAAGCTATGGGGTTGTCTGATGGTCATTTTTAGATAAACTTCAGGCAGTCTTCAGGAAGAGTGAAATGCCCTAGCACATACAGGTCCATTTACATGGCACATGCCTCATGTAAAAATACAGTTTGCAGACCTGATGAGAAAGACTTGCTATGATACAGGGCTTAGGAATTATTAAGACATTTCCTTTTGTCTTTTCTCAGTAGCTATAGCCCATTAAGGTTTTGGAGCAGCTTCAAGATAAGAAAAAGACAGATCTGACTGACATGATCTTGGAGTTTTATGACCTTGGGTTGTGCACTTAACAGCATTGGATTAGGGCAATGGTTTTTTCTGCAGTTGCTCCAAATAAACATTCTAAGCAAAGTTTATTCAAGAAAGAGAAAGTCCCCAGACCCAGTAAGTCCTTTGCTTCTGCAAAGTTCTCTCCCATGTTCAGCTCCTCTCTCCACACACGCCTCACATCATAACACCTAAGTCAAATGACAACAGATAAGAATAAAATTAACAGGAAAGACAGGAGGAATTAACTTGTCACTGAGGCCTTTCTCCTTGTTCTTTCTATCCTAAGAGGTTACCCTAGCTCCCTGCCCATCTTGTGAGCCCCTGGAACTCTCATGTGACACTCTGATAATGATAATAATGATTCTAATTATCTAATTCTAGTAATTCTAATTATGTGAATTATGAATCAGGAGAAATTCTCATTTAGAACAATTTTAGCCACAGACCCCGAAGCTTAAGCAAGGAGTCTAATATATTTCCTTCAATTCCAGTAGCTTATTCCATTTTGTAATTTTCTCCAAAGTACTGAACTGTTTTCATCATGTTAAATAATATACTCTGAGATCCAGAGGCAAAAATTCTTACAGCTTACATACTGGAAGCTTCTCCTCAGCCAAGATCAGTCATGAATACAAGTGAAGCACCCTAGGAAGACATGCTCAGTGTCCTGACACATGTCAGACCACTGGCACCATGTTGTTTCTGACACAACCCCTAGGACTATGTTATGACAGTCATGGATGTTCTTCCAGGTGTTAGCCTCAGAGAGGACAGTAATTGAGAGGTAGGTCACTATTAAACCACCCCAGCTTCCCTTAGTAAGAAATAAGCAATAAGAAGTAAATCAATTTCATAGCGTCTGAAATTTCACAGTCTGATTCCTATAAGGAGTGATAGAGTGTTGGGTGTGAAGGGGTCAAGGATGGCCTCTCTGAGGAGGTGATATGTGATCTGAGATTTGAATGGGGAGAAGGAGCTCACAATTCAAAGGAAGGGGTAAAAAGGGGACCCCAGGTACAGAGGAAAGCAAGCGCACAGGCCTTAAGGGTGTGTTATTTGGGAACTGAAAGATGGTGCAAAGAAGTGTTAACTTTAAAAATAAATATTTTGCCAGCAAACATTGGTTTATTCAGGAATAGCAGAGCATTACAATTCAGGACATGCTATCTATGGTAAAACCATAGGCATTTCCAACAGAGGAGAGGAACATTGTTTTATGGATAAGACCAAGGAAGTTGGGAGGGGCTGTTTTGAATGAAAGTCCATTGGAGAAAAGCAAGAGTTCAGGCTGATGATGGTTCCTCATTGGCTGAGTTGCAGAGGGAATCAGCTTCTCCTAGAAGATTCATATACCTCTTTTTCTTTTGGGGCCTGTAAGTGATCATTCCTTCCTGTGGATGATTCTTCTGTTGGGGTCTGTAATTGACAGTTCTTCCTGTAATTGGCATTGAGTGGTATAGTGCCCCCCTTCTAGCCTCCCAGCTCTACATTAGTGAGGTTTCCCTTTATTAATTTTTATAGGAGCAAAGGACAAGTATGGCATAGAACAGAGTTGCAGAGGTGGACAGGGCCCAGACTGTTCAGGGACTCACATGCTAGGATGAAGATTTTGGATTTTGTTCCAAATGCAATAGGAAACCACTGGAGGGTTTTAATCTGGGAATTGGCATTCATTCATTCATTCATTCATTCATTCATTCATCCATCCCTTCACTTAACAAGTGTGTGTTGACCATTTTCTCCATGCTAGGCATTGTCCCATCACCACTGCGGATATAGTGCCGAAACCTAGCAAGATTTCTGTCTGCATGGAGCTTGCATTCTTATTGGGAAGACTTACACACAAATAAATAAATGTATAATATCAGGTATTTATAATGGTAATGAAGAAAAATAAAGCAAGACACAGTGTAAGAGAGTGATGGGGGTGGTTGTGAGGAAAGGCTTCTCCCTGCTGAGGGCTCTGGGCTGAGACATGACTGGGGAGGTGGGGAGCAGAGACCTGAAGCAGCAAACCATGTAGACCATGTAGCTACCTGAGAAAGAGGGGCCAGGCTGAGGGGACAGCCAATGCAGAGGCCCGGAGCCGGGAGTGTTGCAAAGTCAATGTGGCCGGAGTGGGGAGAAGGAAGGGAAGAGGGGCAGGATCAGATGTGTTTTCAAGTGATCCCTCTGGATGATGAATGAAGAATGAGCCAGGAGCAAAGGGGAGACCAGAATGCCAGCATCATTCACAGCTGGGCAGTGGCCTCTGCAGCTTTGGCAAACTGGCCCATGTTCACCTTGCCTTTTATCCTTCTAAATTATGTTGTCTAATTATCGTCAGCAGCAAACACATTTCCCCAGGCAGGGCAGTTCTAACCTTCTCAGTTTTTATAATCTGTTCAAATATTTTTGCTGACTGTTTCTAGCTTTACTGTGTCAGTCATGCCACATAATAACCAATATCTTAGCTAGAGGCCCATAAATTTTAAAACTGAGTGTACAGAAACTTCTATTTTGTTCTAGTTTTTTCCCCGATTCCTCTTAGCACTTTGTTAAACTTTTGGTTCCCGTTAAGAACGAAGGACAACATCTATTAATTTCTACTGAGAAGCTTTTAACTCATAATAAGGATGGATTCTTTTCAGGGTAGTATCTTCACCTGCCCAAGATGAAATACATCAGGCCCTTCCATCCCACATCCCCCAGCTATCTGAAGCCATCCTTATTCTTGAGTAAATGAAGCAAGATCCTTGAGCCTTTTCTGAGTGCTCTATCTCAATGGTTTTCAACTGGAGGTAGGGTTGCCAAATAAAATACTAATATCTCATGGGACATACACTTAAAAAAATTCAGAGTTTAGCAGAGATTCAAATGTAACTGGATGTCCTCTATTTTTATTTACCAAGTCTGCCAACCCTAACTACATGTGACTATAAGAATTACCCTTGGAGGGGTGCCTGGGTGGTCCAGTTGGTTAAGCATCTGCCTTTGGCTCAGGTCATGATCCCAGGGTCCTGGAATTGAGCCCCTTGACCAGCTCCCCGCTCCATGGGGAGCCTACTTCTCCCTCTCCTTCTGCCTGCCGTTCCCCCTGCTTGTGCTCTCTCTCTCTCTCAAATAAATAAATAAAATCTTAAAAAAAAATTACCTTGGAGTTACAAAATACAGATGGCTAGGCCCCTTCAGACTTACTTCAACTAAGGCAAAATTTCTGAGGGTAGTTTTAAGCCATACACATGATTAAGAACCACTGTTCTAAAGATTTGAGCTAGTCCTTACATCAGCCAGACCCTGCACTAGGTGCTGGAGATACGACCGTAAACAAAAAGATGTTGGCTGCCCTTGGCCCTCCTAGGGCTTCCGGTCTGGGGGTCAGAGAAAGTGGGGAAGGCTGAAGAGCCAGATGTTAATCAAATCATCACATAAATAAATATAAAGCCTCTCAGGGCTCCTAGTTGTAGAAAATGAGTGGACACTAGCCAGTCTCCTGGTCCACATAGCACTAGGCCAGCTTGCACACAGGGCAGGCAGCCTTGCAGGGCTACTTGTAGCCTGCTGAGCCCCAGGCCCTGCGTGCCCGCTTCCTGGTCTCCTAGGAATGCTGTACAGCAGGACTTTGGTCAGACCCTTTGGGCATCTTTGTGATACCTAGAAATCATTGCAGCTCCCACCTCCAGGCCTTTGCTCTATGGGTTCCCTTTGTTTGGCATGCTTTTTCCTCTGATTATCGTCATGAGTCACTCTCTTGAATCCCCAAGTGTTGAATATAGGTTATCTTCTCAGTGAGGTCTATCTTGGCTAGCCTACTTAAAATTACAGATTCAGGGGCGCCTGGGTAGCTCAGTCGGTTAAGCATCTGCCTTTGGTTCAGGGCAGGATCCCAGGGTCCTGGGATCAAGCCCTTCATCCTTCTTGCTCAGGGGGAAGCCTGCTTCTCCCTCTCCCTCTGCCTGCTGCTTCCCCTGCTTGTGCACTCTCTCTCTCTCTCTCTCGAATAAATAAATAAAATCATTAAAAAAAAATAAAATTGCAGTTTCATCCCCACCGTCTCCCAGCCTTCCTGATCCCTTCACCCTACTCTACTTTTTTTCACAGCACTTAACATCTTACCTACTATATACTTTACTCATTTACTATATATATAATTATGTATTGTGTTCTCCTCCCACTAGAATATAAGCAGAGATTTTGTTACATCTTTCATTCACTAAATATGTCCCAAATGCCTAGAAGAGAGCCTAACACATAGTAGGTTCTCAATAAATAATAGATGAATGAATGCTGTATGGATAAAGGATAAAATCAGTTCTGCTTTATAAAGAATTAGACAAATCTGAAATGTTTTGTCCATTGGGGTTCTCCCACAATCCTAAGGCAACAGATTACCTCCCCTCACCCCCCAAATCAGTGACCTCAAAGCTTCGGAGAAATGGCAAGTATTTCTTGCTTGTAAAAGGGCTGGAGACCACTGTCTGGAATATTCTGAAATAAGGCCCTGCTGTAGGGCAAGGGAAAAACCAAGCTTCCAAAAACTGTCGTCATGGTGATCCCAGGTGGTCTCATCTAAGGGAGAGAGATACCAGCAAGACTGCTGATGAAGTTTTCCAGCCATCTGGATAAACATCAGGCAGAAGGCAGGCATTCACCCAGGGGGCTAGGGGTGACTCTTGGGTTTTGTTCTTCTCAAGAGGGGAAGAAAGGAAAATGAATGATAGCGGGCTCCATCGTTAGTAGCCCAGGAGCATTGTGCATTATGGTCATCTTCACAGCCTGCTCAGTAGAACTGGCAAAAATTTTCTCTTATATTGCTCTACTTTGTTACACTTTTCACTGAAAAAGAGTAAAGGTATTGATTCTTATGGGAAATGTAAAGCTCAGATATCAAATTGTATATAAGGATCCAGACTAAGCTTTCTTTGTCTTACTGAAGGAGGGAACATGAAAAGCAATGGGTAAGGAGTAATGGATGATTTTTCAGATTTGTTGATATTGGTGGGCCAAAATAGAAAGTTCTGTACATCAGATTACCTGATGAAATCTGTGAACCTGGAAAACTTCCCTGAGAGAATGAATCAGAAATTAAAACCATGACTTCTAGAATCTTTGCCACACTGAAATAGAAAAACCAACTGAGGGGCTGTTGCTAAGAAAGTGCTTTGTCATTTTTTTAAGTAGCTAGATGAAGATAGATAGGTATGTAAAACACTGATTAATTGGGCCATAACAGTAATTAGCCTTTTCCTTCAGGTGGCCTGCCTTTTCAGCATAGCCCTGGAAACAGACTATTTTTGTGCTAATGAGATATGTGTTTCTCAAGCAACAAGAAAACATCTCCCCTAATGGAATTTTGTTTTATTTCTTCTCTCTGTGTCCATCTGTCTGTCCGTGTGTGTGCCTCTCTGGCTCTTTGTTCGCTCTGTGGGACGATAGAACCATCTGCTGCAGAATCCCAGGGGAAATGCAGCATCTCCGAGGATGAACTGATCACTGCCATTAAAGAAGCAAAGGGGTTATCCTATGAAACAACGGAGAGCCCGCGGCCGGCGGGCCAGGTGGCCAATAGGCCCGAGGCCAAGGCCAGGTCCGGGCTGCCGACCATCCCCAGCCCCCTGGACCACGAGGCCAGCAGCGCGGAGTCGGGCGACTCAGAGATCGAGCTGGTGTCCGAGGACCCACTGGCCGCTGAGGACGCGCTGCCCTCGGGCTACGTGACCTTCGGCCATGTGGGCGGCCCGCCGCCGTCACCGGCCTCGCCGTCCATCCAGTACAGCATCCTGAGGGAGGAACGCGAGGCCGAGCTGGACAGCGAGCTCATCATCGAGTCGTGCGACGCGTCCTCCGCCTCGGAGGAGAGCCCCAAGCGGGAGCAGGACTCGCCCCCGATGAAGCCAGGCGCCCTGGACGCCATCCGGGAGGAGCCGGGCGCCCGGGCTGAGGAGGGCGCAGCCAGCCCCCAGGGCCTGGCCGACCCCAGCCCCTTCCTCAAGTTCCCCGCGGCCGCCCCCTACACCGGCCCCGAGCTGCCCTCAGGGGACGGAGCCCCGGCGTCTCCCGAGGGGCCCACCGCTCAGGGGACACCTGCCGAAGCCGCGAGTTCCAGCCGAAGCCCGGCGGCCACGCACAGCCCCGAGCCGCGTGGTCCTGGCGTCGCCCCTCCTCCGCTGTTCCTCAGTAAGCAACAAGGTAAAGTGACAGCTTTCTTCACTGCAGCAGCTTGTCTGCTTAGTGCTCCCTGGGCACTCTGAAGTGTTCCGCAGAGGGGCGGTTCAGGCCCGGCCCTGTTGCCCGGTCCCAGCCGTTGACAGAGAACAACCAGGGGAGGATGGTGAGATGCAGATTCGCAGCCGGGACTTCGGTGGCAGTCTCGTGCTCCACGTGGCAGCGCTGGGCCGGCTGAAGCCCCGCGTCCCCAGTAAAGAGCATTTGTGTGTACACGCGGAGATCTCCTGGATGGAGTGAATGTGTCCTTCCTTTCGTCCCCGGGTTGGATTTCCTCGCCTGGGAAGGGATGGTTGCTCATTTCCATCTTCCCACCTCTCAGTGATGGGGAGTGGCTCCATCCCTGTAGGGGCTGGAACCCACCGTAGTCAGCACATCCATTTCACAAGCCAAACCGGGTCTTACCTGGGCCACATGGATCTTAGCACCTTCCTTTCTCTTACCCAAGGAACAAGGGGTTTGGACCTTGATAAGTCCAAATTTTTTTGTGTCCTGGCCAGTCAGGAAAGACAGGGACCAAAGTTAATTCCAGAATTTTTCTTGTTCTTCAGCAAGACCTAAGTTAATTTTTAAAGTCAAGCATAATTTAAGAATGATTTTAATTTGGCCATTCTACTTTTCCTATGAGAAGTCTTGAGTTGAAGTCTTCAAATGCAGGAGTAAAGGAAGGTGTTATTTTATCTTACACATTGTATGTGAAGAATGTGTAGCATTCTTCTTTCCAAATCATCTACCACACCTGACTGCAACTGGATTACAGACTTCAGGAAAGGAAGCAAAGAGTCAGTGAATAAGTTAGGCCCTGTGCAGTCTAGTTCATGGGCTATATTGAGTGAAGGGAGGGAAGGTCTCTTCAGCTCCTGGGTGGAGAACACCCAGGTAGAACTTCAAAACACCAAAGCACAACTTTATTCAAAGTCCCCTCCCACTGATCTCCTCTGCTTTTGCTTCTTTCAAAGTATTTTGCCTTTGGGGAAGGGTATACCCTTCTTCCTGTGTATATGCTAATAACGTCAGTGATACTGTTAGCAATTAAAGTGTTTCATATAAAAATAGAGGGCAGATCTTTCCCATTGTAGATTAGAAGCCAGCTTCTAAATTCTTTAACACATTGGAACAGGGGAACCGAGAGGGATGTGATAAAAAGATAACCCTGGTGTGTGGTTGCTTGGTGGCTTAGACACGTGGCATCATGTAGCGTCCCGTAGAATTGACTCTTGATTTCCCAAATACCTCTTCCCTGAGAGTTTAAAGTGTATTTAGTGCGTGCAATAGTGAGGATATTTGATGACAGATTTAGCAGTGGGAAGGTGTGTTTGTTAGGTGAAGATTAAAACCAATTTTGGATTCTTTTGCTTCCACTCTGACTGTGATAGGGAAGGACCCTGCAAGTTGCAGGGAGCCCCGGGAAATGGCGTGAGCATGAACAATCTTCCATCCCTTTTGGTCCTGAAGCAGTGGAGCTTGTGTCCTCCTGAGTACAAGTTCACATCACTGTACTTGAATGGACATGTTTCCATCTTATCCCCCAAATAATGTCCCTGAAAGAGTCACCATGTGTGCAGTGCTGTTCAAATATGTTTATTCTCAGAAGCAAATACATCGGAAGGCTAATAAGGAGAAAATTGTGCAGGCCTATTTCTCTCCCCAGTAAATCTGAGAGACAAGTGCGACAGCTGGGACTGATAAGAGTGACCAGACGTGTGATGAAGGGCGAAGGCGAAGGAAAACCACAGCTGCGAACGCAAAGGCTTCCGAGCATCTTTTCCGGCCAATCCCGGTGCCGTTCTCCTCTCTGTATGAGTTGTCCCATGTGGCTTGGACCCTCTGCTGCCAAGTTTAGGCATGAGAGAGTAGAGAGTGGCAGTCTTTTCAAACGAGTCAGGCCTGCCAAGGTGAATAACCTCTGCTCTCTGCACTGAGGGGTCCTTTGAATTCCAGTCTCCCGCAGGAACTGACTGCTCAGCTGCATTCTCTGTAGAGAGAGTCTGAAAGGCTGTGCTGGGGCAGCCAAGCACCAGAGGTCTTGGGAGGATGACTCCGTGCTGCCAGCATATTGTTGGAGCTCCGATGTTCCTCCTGGTCTCACCTGCTCCGTCTCAGCAGGTGGGAGGATCAGTGCCGCGCAGCCTCCCCCAGGCTGGTCTTAATCACTGTCAGTGGACGGTAGGCTTGTGCTCAGGTCAAGCAGGACTCTGCCAGCAGTGAGGGCAGGTCAGCTTCTGTGGTCGCCTGCTCTTGCCCACTGAAGCCTCTGGCAGTATAAATGCATTCAAGTTCAAGTATTCACAGTATGCTTATTGTCTCTGGCTTTGGAGCTGTGCAGCTGATGCTGAGCTAAGTTGCAGAAAGGTCCAGAAATATTTAGAATAAGGTCTGGCAAATATCTGATGGCATCAGAGTATGGGCTGTCAAGGAGCTCCAGGGTTTCCTGGGACACATGGCCTCCTAAGGTCTATTTTTGGAGCTTTTTCGCTTTTCAGAGGCTTCTGGTGCTGTTGCACTGGAGACAAAATGCAGTTTGTCATTTTCCAGTTTCCCTCCTATGTGTACTCCTGAACTCTCACTACCCTGTCATTCTGCTCCCCCACACCTTCCAGGAAGGCCTGTTAGGAGCATCAGTCTCTGAGAACATAGAGAAGTTCTCAGTGCTGCAAGCTTAGCCCTGACTGTCAGGGACATCCGAGTGAAAAGCCAAGCAAGAGAATCTCAATAAAACACTGACACTCAGTGTGACTCATCAGGATGGCTGTGTGGAATTCACCAAACCTGTTTAATTGCAGAATTTTTTTTATTGGTGTGTTCCTCAGGGTTCCTCTTCTAGGGAACACTTTTTGGGAAATAGTGGTCTCTTAGGCTCACATCCACTCCCTGCATTCTGATTTCTTTACCTTGCAACTCAAAAGTATGGTGCTTGGACCAGCCACATGGGTCGTATGTGGGAGCCCATTAGAAATCTCACTCCATCCCGGACCTATGGAGTCAGAATCTGCATTCTAACAGATCCCCTAGTGATTCCTATATCTGGCAAAGCCTGAGAAGCAGTGTTTTAGACTACGGCAGCCAGCTTTCAGATTCCTACCTATAACCATCCTGATAAAGGTCACGGCCTCTTTTGAGTCTCATCTTTCTTCTTTTTTTTCTTAAGATTTTATTTATTTGTTTGACAGAGAGAGACACAGTGAGAGAGGGAACACAAGCAGCGGGAGGGGGAGAGGGAGAAGCAGGCTTCCTGTGGAGCAGGGAGCCTGATGCGGGGCTCGATCCCAGGACCCTGGGATCCTGACCTGAGCTGAAGGCAGACGCCCAACGACCGAGCCACCCAGGGGCCCCTCAGGTCTCATCCTTCTTATCCCCTCTGGTAATTTAAGATCATAGTGCTCGCCAGTCCTTAAAACATCAGTGAGAAACTAGTGTACGTTCATAGTAATAAATATAAACTGAATGAAATGGTGCCAAATAAAAGTTACATTTCCCCTACTCTGCCCTCCTGATCTAATTCTCGGAGATATTCACAGGCTTTTGTTGTGGTTTTGTTGTTCTGATGCCTTTCAGAAATTTTCTTCAAGTATTCAGGCATATATAAGTTGTAACCACACAAGTGATATCACATTGGACACACTGCTTTGTAACTTGCTTCCTGTGACAGTAAAATCAGGGACAATACCCACTCACATGAACACTGTTCTCTTCTTAGAACTTTTTCCTCCCTTATCTCCCTGGTGTTTCCCCTTCCTGCTCCAGCCCTTACTCTCTGACCTCTTTCCTCATCTTTTTTGCTACCTTTCTCCCAGTTCCTCTGCCTCTGAGTTCTGTGTCTGTATTTCTTTGTCCCTCATTTCCTTGCTGTCACCCACACAGGTTTTCAGCCACTGCCTTATGGGTAGCACATCCCAGATCTCTGGCTTTGGAGAATTCTTCTCCTGAGCTACAAGCCCATTTCCCCACTGTTGATTGGACATCCTGTAGACCCTCCAAATGCAATCTGTTGATGTTATTTGTCAAAATCTGCTCCTTTCCTTCCTTTGTGCCCTTCCTGAGCTAATGACGGGGTATCATTTGGGCTTCACTTTGGCTTAAACATTCAAATAAGTTCTGGATCTAAATAAAAACTCACTAGCCTGAGACACGGTTAAAAGTACAACATGAATGTAAACACTTAGTGGAAGTCTTGTGGCAATGTTTGGTTATAAAATTATCATCTAAATGATCCAGAGTGGGTTTTTTTTAAGATTTTTTTTTTTTATTTGAGAAAGAGAGAACACAGGCACGGTTGGGGGGTGGGCAGAGGGAGAGGGAGAAGTAGACCCCCCCTCACTGAGCAGGGAGCCCCATCTGGGACTCAATCCCAGGACCCCGGGATCATGACCTGAGCCGAAGGCAGACACTTAACCAACTGAGCCACCTAGGTGCCCCCAGAATGTTCTTAACATTTGAAAGATTATTAAAATAAAAATACAAAATGTGAAAATTCTCTTTGTGGGCCTCTCAAGCACGCATCCAGTGACACCAGTTTGAAGAATGTTGGTTCAAGGAGTGGTCCCCAAAGTATTGCCCGAGCACCAGGTTCCTCAGAACCTCCTGGAGTACTGATGAAAAATGCAGGTCCCCACTCTGCTCCTGCGCCAGGACTGCAGAATCAGAATGCATCAGGGCACAAACCTGTGCTTTCAATAAGCATGCTGAAGAGAATTTGGGTTGTAAGCAGATGAGCTGGCAGCCCAGACCTGTAGTAAAAAACCACCTTGGTGAGCATGCCTGAGGCATATGTTGTTTTTTAATTGGAGAGACTGAGGGGGCATTTAGCTGTTTCCATCCCTTCCTGTGCCCTGGGAAGCAGGCCTCTGTACCTTCCCTTTGTGATCACCAGCTGCAGCAGCCTGAGCTTGCCAAGCTCAGCCCCTCGTGGCAGGGAAAAGCTGATCTCCTCCTTGGGGGCATGATTTGCTGGAAGGCTACCAGAT